GTATCTCCTATAAGTTCCACCCGTATTCTCTTACTATCGAATAAGCCAGTGTAGGAGTGTACTATCGCGGTGGAAAATCATTTTCCTGCGACTTCAGGCAAGTGTTGGCTATCTGTCGCAAACGGTGTCCCGACTCCCCGACGCTCGACCACTAGCCGAGCAGCTCATCGCCCTCCCCTTCACGCTGCCTCCTGAGCACCCGTCAGGAGGAGCGGACCCAACTTCCCCCCGGGGACACAGGGGGCGCCCGTCGGCAGCTCAACCTACGCCCTAGTGGCCGACGGGCTAACCTAGGTAAACCGCCCTACTTAACCCTAGTGTACACACAACAGACCGATATAATTAGGGTAAACCCACATATACAAATATACAAGAAACACATATATTTACTAATATTTATTATGACGCATTAACTCACCATACTCCTCGAACTCCCCGGGGTCACCTCTCTCAGAGGTGAGCCCCACCAGCTGACTCGACGTATTAGACCCCCACGTTGGCTCGGCTTCTTCTGGGGGCTCCATGCGGCCGACGTGTCCTATCTGGGATGTTGTAAGGGCTGCTCCCAGACGGGGAGCAGGGGAAGGACACGACCGGCTTTGGGATGACAGGCGCTCCGCCAAGCATGGACTACGGGCGACGTGCCCCTTCGCCTTAGCTGGCCTCATCGCGTTGCCCGGTGAACACCGACCTGCCACCGGTGGCCAGCTCCTACGAGCACCGCCGCGCGGACGGTGCGCGTAGCGCCGACTAACTGGCCTCGACCGCAGGGAGGCGTGGCCAATGGCGCTGAGCATTGGCAACCGAGCGCAAGTGGGCCGGGGCGCGCGGGGCGCCCAGCGGGCCACCGTGGCATCCGCGACACATCTCTGCCTCGAATGATAAGCTCGCGCTTCGGTTGTTGACGGCGCCAAAGTGGGGAGTGGCAATGGCACTGCTTACCCTCGCACAGCTCTGAAATCACATCCTGAATGGTACGCTGTGAAGGGCAACCACGTTCTCCATTTCTCCGGGGTCGCTAGCTGGTACCAGCTTCCTCTATGTGAATAAAAACACTGACCTCTACTGATTGGCTCTGCATGTCAACGTTTTGGCCAAATCGCATTCAAATAGGTTGACTCCGAGTAGGTCCGGATCATCGGACTGCCCCTATTTCAGTACCTTCGACGGCAACAGAGCGTATGGTAGTCTGTCTCTACCAGGTTTGCTGTACACACTAAGTGGGTCAGATCATCCCATAACGAGCTTGGAGACTTTTCCTGGACCTTCTTCGTAATTCGTGGGCGAGCGTTGCCGACATAAAGTAAAGTTTCTCAGATTTTCCGGGCACCATGCCGGGAAACCGATCCACTTGCCAACATTATTGTTCACCAATAGCAGTGGACTTCGTTGGCAGCAGCTCTCCGTGAGCGAAACATTTGCAGCCTCATGAGCTTTCAAAGTTGCCTCCCAGGTTGCAGTTCTCGAATCGGCGTTGCAATCCTTTGTTCTACGCATCCGAGCCAGTCGTGCTTTCGCGTGCGGTTTACTGAGGATCCCACTTCTTGTTACCACCAACAAAGTTGGCGGATCAAGCGATAGACAGGCGGCAAATCAAAATGTCCATGCAAAATTTATCTTAATAGCCTGTGGTCAGTCAGATCACAAAATATCCTTTCGCCATAATTTCACTTCTTTTCGAGGCGATATTGAGGAAGCGGCCATTGTGCTCTGATAGCACTGAAAGAGCTCCGCCAATTACCGTGCATTGCACTAAGACTCTCTCCAATCGAATTCAGAATACACTCGTCAATGAGGGTGGCAGGCCGACCAGATTTGTGGTTTCTCAAGTATCTGGAACTCGGCAACCAAATAATTGGCATGTTGTGAAAGATAGTCTGGAGGTCCATCACAACACGTAGACCTCCTACTGCTTCACTTCAATCGACCCACTTTGTGATCCCAAAAGATTCTGAAAGAAAAAGAAAATGCGCAAGGACTTTCCCAACAATCTTCAGTGTGCGCAAGAATAACGGTAACAAGATAAACTGATCACAAAAAAACCAATTTGGCCGAAAGTACCCCAATCAACAACTTCATAATACTGATTTGTTGGGTGGAAGGTTATGAAACTAAAACAACATTACACCGAGAAGTCGCTTCCTGCATGCATACATAAGCGGCCTCCCTGGAACCTCGTCGTCCTTATTGATAGGAGTTGTCGAATGACTCCAAGGCTTGATAGAGCTGGGGCGACTGTTTAGTTAGCTGATTTTCCGGTTAAGCTCTAAGCAGTGGATTGTTCGGTATACTCAATGTAGAGCACTTCATAGCATTACAGATGGTAATAATATGTTACTACTCTTTTATGTGATGAATTCTGCGATTTAAAGTAAGCACTGTTTATCGGTTTCTCCTTGTTGTTGAGAGATCAATCTTGCTCTGATGCCAAGAGTTCCTCACTGAAGGCCCTTTCGGCATGAGGGATCAAATTGGTCTGAAAAATTTGAGACTTTAATATATAAGCACCAAAGCTTCGAGGTATGTTGAACGCGCGTTTACCGATTTCTGCGAAAACTATCACTGAATGACTCAAGTTGGTTTGTCAACATTCATTTTAACATTGTTTCGGTTGTCGTTCTCATTCAAGACTGGCCTAACAGCACAGTTCTTCTCTTCAATGGGAACCTCCGACAAATGAAGCCCGTAATCGAGTCGAGGCCTCTTTGCTTTAATTTCGATTTACTCGCATCTGTAGGAGGATAGATCATTTCATGCTAAACCCTTTGTGTGCTAACAATACGTGGTAATAAGAAAGACTCGATTCGGCACCCAAACAACGGATAAAGCGAGCTGGATCAAGCGGTTGGCATCATGAATGTCTCCCTTCCATGTCCACTTTTTTTGAAGCTAGCAGAGTCTAGTAAACTTCGTAATGGCCGCCACCAAAAGTATTGTGGAGGCCCTGAAGCGCCTCGCAATTCAATAAAACTATATAGCTCGTTGGAGCAAAGGAGTGTTGTTTTTTGAGGATTTGGAAGATGGCCCTTTCGGAATTGACATTATTCATGTGAAAATTGAAGATGGAACGCATCATTATCAAATTAACCGCGTAAAATATGCATACGTCAAAAACCTTGGTGGTTTAATCAGAGGTTACGATCAGCACGCTCTTGTCACCCTCACTTTTGCCCAGCGTGTACATTGTTTGTGATCGTGAATATTGATCAACTTATATATGTACTACATTTACTTTGCCGCTCAAGCGGAAGGTTCGAAGGTGTGAAAAAATATTTTGGCGAAATCTTTTCATTGTGCGCAGATTGCTCGAGATTTTTTTTCAGGTTTCAACTCTCCAAACGTGCAAAGGAGAAACACCACTGCCTTCGTAGAATCAAGCAGCGGCAATCGATTCTCTACCCACTCTTCTTGTACAGACTACTCCAAAAATGACACCAAATCTGAGAAGGATTCATCAAAAAGGTATCCTGTTCAAAATCATAGTAAAAGCTGGACCTCATCATTCTTCTGTAATATACTGCATTCAATAATCTTACCAGGATGTCCAGCAGTGGTGTCCCTCTTTTGAATAGGAATTTCTCCTCCAAAGTCCCATTCTTTGCAATATTTTATACTATTCGAAGAGAATTTGCTACACTACTAAAATGTCTATTTCACTTTTGCACTCCTCGTGAAAAGGTTGAATTTCAGACTTGCGAAATGGGAGATCCAGTCGTCAAAAATTAGCCAAACCGGCGACTAATTCAACCTCATTTTTCATGAACAATGAGTGATTCACCCCTTGCATGGTCATAGCTACTTCTGAAACTGGGTCGCTCAAAAGTCATGTCGTTTTTGTTCACTTCTTCCGGTTGACCGCCAAGCTATGGCGTTTTTTAGTAGGATTTTTGCACCTAAGTTCTATGTTTCTATATTATTACGTATATCACTAAAAAGCTTTCATATGTTTTATAATGCTATTTGCTTCGCTTTTATTTTCCTTATGAATTAGGTCGATCTGCAAGCTCTCCTTGTAATGAGTCCTTCGATGAGAACGATGAAATTACCTCGACGACTATTTTTTGCTAAAATGGTGAGAAAATCAGTCTGTGATGTAGCCCATGCTTTATCTTGACTTCCTCCAAACTTACACCAAATTTCACTGCCGTGGAATCTTGGGGTCTAGAATCGGCGAAGTTGCGACTGCCATCAAGTTTAGAAGATCCATGTTTGAGAAAAGAAGACACATCTTTCTTGACAATCCAATAGCACAATGATTAGGAGAGGTCGTTACTGAGTACAGGGTACATCGTTGATTGATACCTTCTCATGGAAAGTAGAGTGTTGGGTCTAGCTAATATTTTCGTGTATATCACCTCCCTTTTCGTGAGCTCGGACTTCAGACTATTCCTCAAGAATGCGTAAAAAGGGAACAATGCAGTCCCTCAAAGCAAATAAATCCCTTACGTGTGATACATGACATGAGGTAGTAACACGGAATTTTTGAGGAAAGCTTACAGCTTGAAAAACAGTGTCGAAGTAGATCTATCCTTTGAGCCAACCAATTTCAATTTTGTGGAATTCGAATGCAATTCTTGTTATCGTGCAAGATTTCACTTCTTCAATGCGCACATATTTTATATTCTTTCACCCATATTTTTTACACAGCATGGCGAGAAAATTTGAAAACTACGAGACTATCGCCTTCTAATGTAACACAAATTTACCTTCCCATGTAGTACGGTTCTTGGACGTTTGCATCTACTAGTACGAAAATCTCAGCATTAATTAGTTCTAATGTTTTTGCTGAGCCTTCGTGGCTGTCAAATGCAACTGTCATGAATAATTAAGAAGAGTGTCAAAATAATAAAAATATTCCTATTAGCAGTTCCAACTTGATTCGCCCGCCTTTTCCTTCACCCAAAAATACTGAGCTATGAGCAAATGCTTTGCATCGCTGCTGCCACTTAGCATTGAACCTGTTATCACACCTATTGCAAGGATGGTGTGGAGCACTGCTGAACGCTGATGTTGTCTTAGCGAGCATTCCATATGATATCGTCAAACGGCAGTTTGTGTTAAGTAGGCTATGATAAATAGTGCTTGCCAGAGTATTGTGAGAGCTTCTGTAAGTAGAAGATTGCGCAAAAATTGACAGAACTGTCGAAAGGATGTCATCCATGTAACGTGACTTACAGCATAACGTCTACAGTTTCAAGAAATCAAACTTACAGTGAACATTAGTTGCTCACTGAAATGTCCAACATTTTCTGACTTTGGAAAAATCCTCCGTAAAGTTCTTGAGACCTAGCGAGAAAGCACTGGCCCTGGCGCAACCAGGGCGCATCGAGCTCGTCCCAGACGATGACATTTCTTCAATGTTCATAGACTCGTGAAGTTCAGAGCAAGCCTTACCCTTCGAAATCGATTCGCACTGTAGTCCATCGAGCACTCGAAGTTGTTGTTGAAGCTGATGAAATCTACAACTTTGATGTTGTACTAGCCTTCACCTTTGAGTGAAGGCTCTTCCTGCCTAGAATTCCGAGAGTCTTTTTCCAATACGAGCACAAACTTGAGATGGTGATTTGCACGCCGGATGGCCTCAGCAGTTTCCTTCATGTCCATTTCTTGCAAGCTCCAGAGTGCCACATCACTACGAATTCTCTTGCGTGTCTCATGCATATGCGTCTCTTTGCGTAAAATTACTCATGGTATACCCAGAAACACGGTTCTTGTTCCCGGTTGGTCATCTTTAGTTTTTAGTTATTTGTAGCTTCAATGGATCTATAGGTAACTTTATGAAAACCGAAACACCAATGAATTCCGCGGGACCATTGGCGGCGAAGTCCAATGACTGAAGATCGTTGGCATTATCGCGTGACCATCGTTAAGAACAAAAGCAGGATCTACGAGCGAGGGTTCAATTCGCATGTGCATGTTTGGTGCACATTCGGTCGAAAAGCAGCATAGAGACGACATTCTTATGAGAAAGTTCGCAATTGGCAGTTTTCAAATCGAGGTTGTTCTAGGTGGCATAAAGAAGCTGTGGCAGCAGAATCCAACATAATTTCATTTGTACAGCGCTAGTTTGATATAAATAGCTCACGAAACTGTTGGCAGTTCCGTGCTGATCCGATTTCCTTTTCAACATCCAATAAACAGCTGAAGATAGTAAATGATATGAGTAAATGTACAATGTATTTCCTCATTCCTTCCGTTAGTTCTCGTAGGGAGTGGAACGAAAATTCAACCATACAACCACTTTTATATAGGTTGCTTCGAATAAATTTCATTTTGAATGCCCTACTGGTAATCATTAACTGAATTTGAATGAATTTTTTATGCACATCATTCCAGCATCTGCTCATACCAGCAGTCAGAGCTCATCGAGTATCCTTTACATAGCGAGAATTCGGCAGGAAAACTTTCATTGTCAATTATAGGTGAATCAGAAAAGGTATAACTATCTGTTGTTAAAATGGACTACTCATAGTTAGACTCCAAGTCTTAGCTAAATTTCTTTTCTCCCAAACTTCTTCACTTTACGACCCCTTACTCTTCCTTGTAAGTGTACAACACTGCTTTCTGAGGTTGGTTATAGACATGTGAAGTGTGGATCGAATGTTTTTTGATGTGTAGGCACGGAAACAGTTTTTGTGACCATCAATAAGATTTTCTCTTCACATCGCTTTGCAATTTTTTGCGAGTTTCATCTTCGGGTTCCAGCACTTTATTATTGATTTCACGCTTAACTATTTTTACGTCGTCCATTTCTTTTGTGCAACCTTTCAAAATTGTACTTGTATGAGCGCTTGTTCTTCAGTGTTTCCTTTGCTATGTGTTATCTTTGAGGCATAAATGTTGCATGTATTGATGAATTAAATTTAACCCTTTGACTACTGGTGGTACACATGTGTACCACTCCGTAGTCAAAGGCACTACCACAGTTTTAGGACTTATTCAGACTGGAGTGCCCGGTTGATGGCAGAATTGTGTACATAGAAATACTATCATTTTTACTCTTGAAACAAAAACAAACAAGAAGTAATGAAAGACGGGGCTTAAGTAATGAAAGACGGGGCATTTAATCAGCCGAACCAGTTAAAGGACTACGCGGCGTTCCACGGCAGTGTTGGGGACTCAACCTCCACGATTCCGACAGTTCTGCTGGTGCGAAAGTCTTAGGAGACTACTATGACAACACAGATTATGAAGCACTAGAAGCCGTCGAAACCTCGTGAAAGCAGAAAACAGAAAAACCACAGCGCTACTACAGAGTGCGGCTTGCAATTTTACCCAAGTGTGGTCGCCCAAGGACATTGGCTTTGTTCCACGAATGAGATATGGAATTGTGTATTCGTAATTGTCAATTAAGTTGCCAATTTACATTTCAAAAATACCATTCGAGCGGTGATGGTGTGGTGACAAGAGGGGCCGCTGTAACGCGCATAGTCTCTGGATCAAAATCTCAGGTCAAATCCAGCGTAAGTCAACCAAGTCTTCTACAGGATTAGATGTTGCAAGTTGCAGTAGTTGCATCGTGGAACACATCAGATGTTCTGTCCCGAAGTCTCGTGTCGATCTCAATGTGTAATAAACAATGTGAGACTTCAGCAGTTTTATTGCAATCACTCAAAACTTTTCAAATTATGTGTTTGCAAAAGTTTTGCAAAAGTTTAGGCCTTTTTTGGCGAGCTTTCGGCGCTTAGCGCCTTTGTCGAGCCTGAAATGAAAATTAGAAGCTTTCTTTTCTGTTAAGTATATTAAATATATTAACTGACCCACCTGCTGTCCACTCTCAAAAGTGTAACACTTACATACCACCCTTGTTGGTCTGTGAAGCAAGTCTCACACTGGTCATCGCACATTCAGATAAAACATATCGGTAACTTAATTTTGAAAAAGTCGAAGTCGTGAGGGGGTTGAGGTTGAGCGGCCGATGGGAATATCACTCATTGTACACATGACTGTGCTGAACTACTTGTTTTCAGGAGTGTACTGAAACTCGCTCTAGACCCATGGGGTTTCATTTACAAAACAAACATGCTATTTCAAAAAACCAATTAATTTGAACAAAAGACTACAAAGAAGCACCATAAGTACTTCCTGCTGACTTCGCCAGTGAATTAAGAATAATGCATAGGAAGCCTTCAACTTTGCAATGAAGAGGCTCGTAAATTATTGGATTGATGTGTCCAACGCTCTGTAATTGGAAAGTAACACCCGGGTGACGTAGAGTGTTCAAGCTTCGGGTAGGGGTGGCCAAAAGTAGAGACATATTGCACCACACTGATCATTCTTTGCTAAATTTAGACCGTATGTTTGCAAGTGAATACTGATGAACTCGTTGCATATCGATAAATATCATAAAAACCTTCTTAAAAGAAGCCACAGTGATGCAAGCCAACTTATTCAGAAGAATTTGGGTTTATGAGCAATGCATTATATTGTACTTTGGTACGGCTGAAAATAACAGGGGAAGGCGGTGAACTGTCCTCACATTCACTACGCTGCCTCTCGTCATTGCACTTCTGAGTTTACTCGATGTTTTTTTTGGAGACAAGGACAATTCACATGCAGACCTATCGGGGAAACATGGGCGACCACGACTTTTATCCTTGGGTTGTGTGATGACGCGAAATCTCCCCTCCCTACGCACACTATATCGGAGCTTACCATTTTCAGATGCGTTATGTTTGTTTGCGAATTCTTAGAAGATTCCGCATCAGATCGAGTTGAAGTTACATTACAGTGGCCGAGCATGATCATGTTGCAAGTTCATGCAGTTAAACTCCATAGTGGCTAGAGCTTGTATCCGAAGCATTGCGATGCTATAAAAAAGGTAAATTAATTAGAATAAATCAAATAGCATATGTACATGAATATCAACAACTTGATTAAATGAAAACTGTTCGCGAATTTCTGACAGAAATGGCTATAGTGCACAGAAAATGCCAGCAGAAGCAATCAGTAACACAGAAATCATGTTAGATAGTCCATAGCATCGAACCACAAATCTCTTTCACTGAGGGCCTCTCTGAGGGAAAGATCGGCTACGTGGTGAAGCTACGTGGAGCGACCCCAGGTGGCGGATTGCGTGGAATCGCGGACCAAAACGCACTGTATACTTTTCCTGAGAAACAGGGCAATTCAGGTTGGACAGTGCTGTGTCGATTCAAGTATCCATTCATGCGTATATAGTGCATTGTGAGTGTGTGCGGCTGCTATCCTGCATGTCGGCTAGTCAAAAGCTTGCATTCGAATGGAAGTGGAGAGCATTTGACTCTATTTAGAGTCCCATCCCAAAAGAAGCTCCATGAGGTTGTTTCTGCCACGCCAGTTTGGAGAAATGGATTTTCCGGGCAGTTATGCAGAACGTAGAGCTCTCAGGTGTTCACATATCCTATTTTGTAGTAGCCTTGATGTTTCTTCGATGTACAATTCAATGTGAAATTCGTTACAAGTGAGGCAACCACTTTGTAGACCACACATTTTTCTTACCATGTTCTCCGCAGATTGTACAGTTTACCTGTTCACACAGACTCGTACACTGTGAACTTGTCGGAGGCGTCGTAAGTGGGAGGTGGACTAAATCCAGGTTTATTGTGAGAAATTGCTACCTTGTTCACATGAAGCCCATGTAGTTTGCCGCGTGATTTTATCATCATGAAAAAGGCGCTCCACGATATCAAAGATACGAAGACGGTAGCTGATGAAATTTGCAGCAAAACAGACATAGACCAACCGAGAAGCATGGAGGCTATGAAGGTTGTCCTGCGGCACACCACTTGGTTCCCTTTCATTACCGACTCGTTCGCAAAGGATGTCAGCCGTGTCATAAAACGACCACGGCCTCCCATAAGTCTGATCTTTCGTCCATTTCCACTTTACAACGCCTTCTAACGTCTTCGGACATCACACACTCCTGCATTCGCCGGAAAGATGGCTCGATCCTCTGACTGAACTCTCCGTAGAAATGTGGATGATCCAGTCGAAGAGAAGTAATGGAAGCCAAGAAATAAGACAACAGAATTGAAAAATCAACAACACGGAGGAGATAAAAGCTGCAAAGTCTGGTATCAATATATTATAATACATGCACTTTGAAGAGAACGTGACAGAGTCCCAATCGGTCTTTGCTCGGGCACTCCTATACATATGGACCTATTGTTGTACCTATAGAACTATTGTTTACCGCCTTTTCTAGTGCTCGCATAGACCTTGGCATCCACGCATCTCGACCGCCAACCACCTACCTTTTCTGCAATTTACTATTGTCCCTGTTATTAGGGTTGCTACTTAATATTAAGTGGTGAGCTTTTCTATGCTCAAGGGCTTATGCTTGAAAAGTTGACCTACACGATAGTACAAGGAGAGCAAAGGTTTTCAGCAAGATATGCTCTCTTCGGAAGCTACCGAGCTGATACGCCAAAGTGGAGACGCATGAGCTGATAGGCAACTACCAGCTAATGACCATGCTTTCTAGGCAATGCGCAGACGTAAGGCCCTGTTCAGAGATGTCCGCTTGCGCGAAAAAACGCATAGGCGAAACAATGTGAAATATGTATCGACTGAACGAAGACGCACAGGCGAATCGTGAAGTGGGAGGATCGACGAAAATGAGTATCATACGCATCGACTTACGAACGCTTCGCTCACGCGATTTTCCGCCTGTGCGTTTCTCACAGTCGATACATATCAAACTCTTGACTGAAATTCGCCTGCTCCGGACGTTTCGCTTACGCGTTTCACAATTTCTCAGTCGATGCGTATCTAAATCTTGGCGGAGATTTTCGCCTGTGCGTTTTTTCGCGCCGGCGGACATCTCTGAACAGGGCCCTAAAGGAGTACCTCCTCAAACCACAGGCAGGCGAACCATCAGTATTAGGCTAAAACCAGGACCAGGTGGGAGAAACATACTCATGTTCCGCTGTAAGCTGGCGACAATTGCGTAGTACTTAGCATAATCTAACCTTCCGAGGAAGCGGTTTACGTTTGCCCCTGCGTGAGCAGCAGTAGGAGAGTTATCCAACTACTTCTACTCCTGAAATTTTCGAAAGCCATTTCCACCCCTACGAACTGTCCGAAGCGGGTCGAATATGTCATTCTGCCAGTTCTTCCATCCTACTCGCCATCTCGTCGGTGAAGATTTGTAGAACAATTAACCCGCACAAGATCAGTCCAGAACATCTGACGAATTCACCGCCTTTTGTCGTCAGAGAACGCTTACTCCACTCGCTACATACAAAATGCAAGAAATCCACCCCGTGAAAAACAAGTAGAGATGCGTTGCTGTCGAAGATGTAAGACTCTATAACGCACATCAGCAAACTATCCTCTCCTTCACCTTGCTGTTTGTTAGTCTTCGAAGTACGCGTTTCACAATTTCTCAGTCGATGCGTATCTAAAATCTTGGCGGAGATTTTCGCCTGTGCGTTTTTTCGCGCCGGCGGACATCTCTGA